CCTTCAGCAAATTAGCAAAAACTATCAATAAACTTGTAATTTTAGCAGGAACAAACAACAGTGTCGTATTACTTAAGCATTTTGCACCTGCTAAAATATCATTTCTGTGATGTCTTTCATCAATCTACTGAACCACCAAAGGTACAGAGGCCACAGTCTACCGGTCCTTGCCATTCCAAAGAGAAAACTTAAATTTACTTAGCACCTACAAAGTCGAGCTAATCATAAATGTATCAAGAAGCTATAAAATTTTCCCATCCATTTTTCAAAAAAATCATACTATGAGCAAAATAATGCACAGTACAGTACTAGAGACAATTCAACACACCTTTAAGAGTTAAAGGGACTAAAAAGATTGAGAACCTATAAAATTAGTTCAGACATGTATCTAGTGTCAATAATAATTTTTTTCTTAATTTAAAAATTGGTTGTCACTGAATAAATAGCAACGAATCTGCTGTTTTAATTGAACATTGCGAGGTAATAACAAAGCTACATACTGTACAGTACTGACACCCTGTACGACCTTTGGACATGTAATTTGTGTACAGTATGTTTCTTGAGTGACTGGTATAATGTTTTTATTAAAATCAAAGGCAAAGGTGGTGAGAGATTTAATATTTTATTGTTACGAATACTTTTTTTTTTAATCTTTGCTGTTTTACTGTTTTCATTCTTTGACTTCATATTCTGGTGCTAAAACACAATCTATGCTAAGTCCCCACCTCTTGTTCATCATATAATGATTTTCAGATAAAATATTTGAAAGCAAAAATTACTGATACATTATAAATTATCAATTTATCGCGTTACTACACCATTTATTGATGATAAACAAATATTTAATTAAACCCTCAAGTTGTTAACATGGCTTTGAAGCAATTCCTGTGTCATATAAATGCACTGCACATACTGTACAATACAGCATCTTTAATTTACAGTAAGTGTCAAATTTAATGTCTTTTTTTTTTTTTTTTAGGAAATATAGTAGAGCTGCTGTACCTCCTCAGAAATGGCTTCAACGATTCAAGATGAAAAAATCACTGAATTTAGTACTGTACTCTACTGCCACACCTGAGTACTGTACAGTGAGTTCTGCTATAACACGTGTTTTGATAACGCGAATTTGCTCTAACGCGATTTATGAATAGAGGAACGATATTTGTTTAACGCGAACGCTTGTTTGCTATAACGTGATATTTGCTTACTATTTCTCCAATTTTGTGGTATTAACTGTGAATATGGTAAAGAAGAATATCTCCAAGAAGCGTTCTGGTGATAGAATTCCCGGTGATGATCGTAAATGAAAGGCTATAACCCTTGAAGAGAAGCTTGATGTTATCAACCTCAAAATCACCCTTTTCCCCCATCAAGTTACATTCATATTTTTTCAAGGCAAAGTGTTACATTTACTGTATGATTTCATTATTAGATATGAATGTAACATTTACTTAGACTGTGCTATCCTTTGTGTTAGGCTAACTACTAAATTTTTTCGATTTCGAGTAATCTGCACCTAACCCTATTTTCTCCATAAGCCCTGTTATTTCTATTACGCGATTTTCTATAACACGATATTTTACAAGAACACAATTATCGCGTTATAGTAGAACTACCTGTACTGTACTATCATTCAATGGTACGTTCATTCTAACATACCAGTTTTTAGCTCAGCAACATTATCTTAACTGCTAAAGGACCAAAGACATTGAAGCCTACCTGCTGTGTCATATACTGTACTGTAAATAAAAAATAAAAAATCCAACTGGATATGCATCTTATGCATAGGTACCATAACTAAAAGAATTTTAAATTTCGACCAACGTCAGTGCAAAAGTATCAATCCTTTGCCATTTTGACAGCCAGGAGCTTCATGACATATACTGTACAGTATAGTACAGTATACCTGTACTGTACCTGTTTGTCACTCATTCCATTAATAACTGGGATACACTGACAGTAGCAAATAACATATTAAAACATCATCATTTATTGGCAAAGGTTTTATTTGAGAATCATAATATAATTAATAAGATTTGTGATCAGGATGAATATACCCTGTACCTACAATTCCAATTAAATTTTTGTTAATGACACTTCAGAAACACAAATCATAGTAAATTATGGTACACTCAGAGGTGAACAGAAATGACATTTTTTTTTAATAATTAAATTACATGAGGGTAACTTTTTTCTTGGTACAATACTTTACACTTACTTGAGTAACATCTCAGACAATTATTGGTAGTCTTACTTCACTACAGTAGCTACTCATTTTTTCAAGTTCTCATTACTGTACTTTATTCTGGCCATCAAAGCAGTGAGTGTGATACTTTCCCAAGTTATCTGAACTCAGTGAGCATGTAACAGGCTTCCGGTCAATCATTACTCGGCAATGAGTGCACACTGTTCCCAGCCTCAAAATTGCTATAGAAAAAAAAATTTATATCAAGAATAAAATAAATGGGGTGGAGGGTATTGTACTTTTCGTATTCTTGTTTTTCCTAGTGTTTCCTGCAAATAATGATGCACTGTGACAATCCACCCAACGACATCATAACTGCATTTTAACTGTTGATAAACACTTCCCAGGAACTGACCGAATGTTCAGTGGTGGAATGCTTCCCAGTGACCTATCCACATGAACTGAAATACTGTACTGTACTAATATCCTAATCTACTCAACCCAACCCAACGTACAGAGTGTATTTAAACAAACCTAATGTAACCTAACCTAAACAAAAATAATAAACCTCCATCCTAGGATACATAAGTTTTTCTGGTTCATATTATCCTGTACAGCATCTACAATATATCATTTGCTAGGGAAATGTCACAGAAGAAAAGTGTCTTTGATTGCAAAGATAAAATTCCTAAGATTCCATGGTTTTACGAAAGCACAAATTGACCAAAGGTTTTTATGGTAAGTTAGGTAGGGTTATGTAGGTTACTTTTGGTTTGGTGGTAATTATTGACGACTACACCACCACTGATTTTTCATACAAAACAAATTTTAAAATACCACAATTTCACTGATTTATAGTGGACGCTGTCATAGTTATGGCAAATGTGTTAAAAAGTGTTTATTTACAAGTTCAGCTTAACTTAACCTAGCCTACCCTAACCTAACCTGGTTAATATTTAGTAGTTGCCACCACCTAACTGAATATTGAGTTATATGTGGGGAGATGGAGAAAAAAGTAAAAATAATTTATCCTATGTTTCCATCATAAATTTAAAGTTTTCGGGTTAATTTAAATTTTATTTTATAATATTTGGCCAATCAGTGTGTGTTCGTGGGCAGTTGGAAGATGGATGTACATTGGCTGGCTGCTGCATAATTCAGCACATTTTGGACAATGAAGCAGCAGCCATTGTCATTTTTAGGGCTCAAGGTGTTCTTGTTTCATCTGTAAAGTGACCAAGAGTAATTCAGTGTCAGTACTGTGTAGATCACCATGCATGGTACTGTGTTAAGAGACACACTGGCAAACACACCACTTCCTCATTCAAATTGCATCACTCTATCCTCCTGTATCTCTTACTTAAGGTAAATTTCTTACACACTGGGGGTTAGGTTAGGTAGGTTAGGTTTTTATTTTCTTTGAGATTTTTACAGTGTTTGACCTTACAATTTTTTTCTCAATATTTCAACTACTGCTCATTTCCGACGGCAATGAAGGTCATATTTGTATTTAACACGATGATTTACACTATAAAGAAACATTTTCAAAAGTCAATTAGGTGGTGGCAACTACTCAATATTTACCCCTAACCTTATACAAACCTGACCTTAATCTAATCTAACACTAACAAAACCAAACCCCTAAAATTATTATCACATCAGAACTCACTAATGAAAAAATAGTAAGACTATAAACATCAAAACAAACAGCACGTCGGCGGTGTACTCGTCAATATTAGCCTTAACGTTTCCACGAAGTTTCTATCAACTCCATCTGGTGTTAGTCTAAAAAAATAAAATAAATACAGTCAACCCTCGCTTTACGCGGTCCCACATTCCGCGTTTCCACGTTTACGCGGTACCCTGCCGAAACAGGAATGCTCACATTCCGCGGTGCGTGTACCCCTTTACGCGGAGAGCGGCTGGCGAGCCGCGCCATTTTTGGATCCAAACCTCCCGCCATCTCTCACGCCCTCCGCCATGTTGTGTAAGCGGCGCAAGCATGGTGCGCACAAGGTCGCCCAGTCATCAAAACATTACCGAGTTCTTCACCCGCCACCCACCACAGCCGGCCCAAGTCAGTGATAGTGATAATTATAGTGAGGATATGGACTTATATGGACTTTGAGGGGTTTGACAAAGAGGCCCTGCAAGCCTCTGTGGTGGATAGTGATACAATTGATACAAGTGATACAGGTGAGGGCCAATAATCTGCCCTCTGCCTCGGAACCAACCGCCCATCCCGTGTGCCCAGCCATCTTTTCTACTAATGTAAGTGTTAAAAAACCTAATATTATTGATATTTCTCTTAATTATTAATTGTGTGTGCATACCATCATAAAGTTAAGATAATATTTTTACTACAACATAGTTGTGTGTTGTCAAAAAGTGGAGTTTGGGGGTCGGCCCGGTCTCTATTTTAATTAATCCCATATGTTATGTTGTTCACTTTACGCGTTTCTCACTTTCCGCAATACCCTGTGGGTTGAATTGAATCGCGTAAAGTGAGGGTTGACTGTACCAACAACCGGACAAATATCCACTGACTAAAAATCCCACAATGGCTTATTCTAGGCATTGTCCATTCTTGAAGAAACCCTGTTTTTTCACATTTCGTTCATGTAATCTTGAGAATCCCATTTTAGTCTGAACAGCTACCAAAATGGTAGGTTTTAAGACACACTATCATATTACTAATGTACAAAAATAAAATCTGTAAACAAGACTTGCAACTTTCTTAATCAAAGTTTGTATGAATTGCTTAATGTACTTAATAACTCAAAACTCATGCTTGCAGCTTCACACTCACTCTTACCGACCACACAAGAGAAGCAAGAAGTGGCCGAGTGTGACGCCAACACTTACCACCAACAGTCGAGCTACAAGATAGCTTAATGACATGAATATCTTGTCATAACATGCAGTATCATCAAGTCCTTATCTTCTTGTATTTTATTATATTTATAATGCGCTATTATTACACAGAATGTGTGATTTCTTTCTTGGTTGTTTAAAAAACAAACAGTATTGACTTGAGTTTGTTTGTTTATATTAGAGTCAGACAAGTAAGTAGCAAAATGAATGGTGTTAGAAATGCACTACGAATAGTCACTGATTATTCCCACGTTCTTTTCTTCAATCAAATGTTCATAATCAATACGAGAATCAATCTGTTGATCCTATACTCTGAAATGATGAAAAATTCTCGGTTTTCCTTATACAATTTATTTAACATTAGTCATTTGCAACAATCATGTACAAATATTTTCATTTGGCTGAACTTGTCTGCCATCTAGTATTCTGCGGCTGAAATATGTCCCTTTAAAATACCTGAAACACCCAATGTACGGAATCCCCTCTGAGGTGACTAAAGATGTCTTGAATAAACACGAAAGCTAAGGTTCTCCATTGCTTCCTTTTTCCCTGTGTGATTTTATCAATATTTATCTTAGCCACGTTCCATTGTGGATCTACATGATATATATATATATATATATATATATATATATATATATATATATATATATATATATATATATATATATATATATATGATCAGGAGAAATTTCAAACGTATCATATATATATATATATATATATATATATATATATATATATATATATATATATATATATATATATATATATATATATATATATATATATATATATATATATATATATATATATATATATATATATATATATATATATATATATATATATATATTTATATATATATATATATATGTGTGTGTGTGTGTGTATATATATATATTTTTTTTTATGGGTACGAACTGTCTCGTAAATTGGGTATGACTTTACATGTTCTGATGGGCACGATATGCTTGGGTACGAGTGTCCAGTACCTCGCTACTATTATGCTTTGAGGAAATACAGGTGAATCATAAAACTAAAAATTGCAATAAAATTAAAACATTTCGACTGACAACTGGAGTCCTCATCAGTTAAATAAAATAGTATAATATAATATATATTCAGGTTTAAATGTAAAAATGTGCCAAACATGTCCTAGCATGGATAGAAGACTTTCTACATGACCGCAAGCAGTGTGTGGTGATTAATGGCACGAAATAAATCATCCATACCTGTCACAAGCGGGGTACCACAGGACAGTGTATTGGGCCCGCTGTTGTTTGTTTGTTTCATAAATGACATGCCAGACGTTGTACACTACTCCAGACAAATGTTTGCCGATGACGCCAAGTTATTTCAGGAAATCAAGAACCAAGCGGACTGTGAAGAGCTGCAGAAGGACCTCTGCGGGCTCCAGGAATGGTCGAAGAAATGGCTGCTGAGATTCAATGTCACGAAGTGTAAGAGGATGCACCTGGGGCGTACCAACGGTAAGGAAGCGTATCATATGTCCCAACTAGATGAAGAAACTGCACTATTTGAGACTGAATGTGAGAAGGACCTATGATGTGTATGTTGACAATGAGCTGAAGTTCACGGGCCATTGCGAGAAGAAGGTAAATCAGGCAAATAAATTATTGGGTCTTATAAGAAGGTCGTTCAGATATCTAGACGGTCCGTCTCCTTTAACAATCTTCAAGAGTGAAGTGCTTCCCCATCTGGAGTACTGTCACCCCGGCTGGTCCCAGAGATATGCTAGGGACTGTCAGTTGGTTGAAAATGTTCAAAGGAGGGCCACCAGACTGGTGCCTGCACTTCGGCATCTCAGCTACCCTGAGAGATTGGAACGCCTGAACTTGCCCAGCTTATACTACACAATACGCTAGATAGCTTCAAACAAAGGTCAGATAGATATATGAGCAATAGGGGTTGGGTGTAAATGGGACTGCCCAGTATGGACCAATATGCTCGCTGCGGTTTCCTCCATTTGTATGTTCTTTTAACGTTTTAACCATAATGTCTTTAATATGTATTTTCAAGACTGAAAGCCAAAACTTAGTCTTTTTATTACAGCTTTCTACTTTTTGTGGATATCATGAAGATTAGGTCTACCTGCCCGCTTGCTTTTGATGTTTTCTTAACTTATATATATCTACCACCTAATTCCCTTATTTATGTTATTTCATGTGCCTTACAACATGGTATTACCTCTTGTTTTATTTAAGGAACATCATTGTTCGTGATTAAATAAATATATAAATGTATAAGCAGATAATCATGTATATTTATGCAATGACTTCTAAGAATAAAAATGTATATGGCTAATGACAAGAGTCTACGCTAATGACAAAGTCGATCTCCAGACAATAACACGTTTTCTATGATGACCTTAAATATTTATGGTAAAATTTAATCGAGAGATGGCGAAGCAGTCAGGGGCTGAACGTTAATTGAATGTAGTACAAGTTTCTCTATATATTCCTTCCTTGGTATAACACACCATTGTGACGTCACCAACAAGCCATTAGCCTGAGTGAGCCGCGAGGGAAGCACGTGTTGTGACAGGCTGTTATGTGGTGATTAATTTTTTAGTATTTTTATATTAAGTTATTTAAACACAAGCTTATGTTGCTACTGTCCTCTGTGGTGAGTAAATTGTTGGTATTTTTATTTTCATAATTAAGTTACATGTGATGTTAGAGAGTTGGTTAACCACCACCATGGTAGTTTGTCAACCCAGCAAGTAGTTACCTAGAGTTTTATTCCGTCATCAAATGGAAATTTAGGGGAAGATGTTTTATGAAAAGGTAATTGCAAAGATAAACTCCGCCATTTTATATATTATGCTGCCTTGGTATTAGTGTAGTTTATATTGGTGTTTGTAGTAAGAAATAATTCGTTGCCGTCGACGATTTGGGGAATTGAAAAAAATTAATAGGGTTAATATTTGCTTTTATCCCAATAGGTATTTTCGATTTTGGTTAATATATAGGACTAACCCGCCATATCTCACGTCCAGAAATGCCTCAAAGTTCTTTCTGTTTAATATACCAGGGAAGTTGGGTCCGACTAATTACCCAAATGTACCCAAATATAGCCGGAATGAAGTCAAATAATGGTCCTAGATGAATAAATCGGACTGCTAATCACTTCTCGACTAGTATTTGGTGTCACGAAGTCACAAAAAATTGGTAAACTTAATTTAATCTGAGTTAATAGATCGAGTGATGTACCTAATCTAACCTAACCTAACACAACTCAGATTAAATTAAGTTTACCAATTTTTTGTGACTTTGACACCAAATAATAATTGAGAAGTGATTCACAGCCCGATTTACGCTTGTAGGACCATCATTTGACTTCATTGCGACTACATTTGGGTTCATTTGGGTAATTACTCGCTCCCTCGGTACAAGCACGCGATCTATTAACTCAGATTAAATTAAGTTTTCCAATTTTGTTTCACTTTGACACCAAATACTAGTCGAGAAGTGGTTGACAGTCCGATATACAGTATTCATGTAGGACCATTATTTGACTTCATTGCGGCTACATTTGGGTAATTAGTCGGACGGGGGGGGGTCTAAAAAACACGTGATTTCAAATTCGTTCAAAACTTATCAAAATACATAGGATACCCTATTTTTAATTTTGAAATAAAGACCGGTGTGATACTATAAATTCACCAAAAAAAATTTATACACTAATATGATATTAAACACAAAAATGGAAATGACAATGCATAGAACCTAATAGAACCTGACCTAACGTACCCAACCTATGGGTTTGCTAGGTCAGGTTCTATTAGGTTCTATGTATTATTGTGTTAATTTTTGTGTTAAAGAACTTACTTTAATATTGAGGTTGATGTACATCAGCAATGGCGAGGAGAAATACGTGGAAGCGTTCACCATCATTTGGGAAACGTCTCTTGAACAGTATAACAAAAATCAAGAAAATAACAAACAACTTCTGGCCCTTTTCTACACCTTTACTTTATTTTTTTAATAAGGAATCGATTTTCTTCTATGTCATTTCCTGGGCAAATGCATAGTTTTTGTCAGGTCAGGTCAGGTCAGGTTAGGTTTGGTTTGGTTTGGTTTGGTTTGGTTTGGGTAGAGGTTAGTCTATTTTGGCATGACAAATAATTATTCTCGTGAATTTTGGTGTTTTTTAGTCAATGCTAAATGTTGTTTCTTTTGAAAATGAGCCTTTTCGGGGGTTTGATTCCTCAAAAAATTGAAAAAAAAAATGTTGCATTTCCAAAAGAAAGATGTTCAGAATCGACTAAAAAACAAAATACACCAGAAAAAATATTTATCATGCCAAAATAGGCTAACATATTACCATGTACCTACTACCCTAACCAAAATACTTGTACACCAGAAAAATATCTTATACCAATTGGGACAAAACAAATTTTTACCATTAATAGTGAGCTGAGTGAAGGTTTATACCAGAAATAATTTATGGAATTGAACCAAAATTTATGGAGATAATATTTATATGATACCGAATACGAAAATGGAAGTGAGAATGCACAGAACCTATTATAACCTGACCTAACCTAACTTTTAAACCTGTACATTGTCGTTTAAATTTCCGGTAATACTGCAGCTTACGGGTAACACCAGAAGGAGTTGTTGGGTTATGTTCGTTTTTTTCCATAGAAGATATTTGGCTGATAGCAAGTAATAGAACCATAAAAGAACTTTTTATGGTGTTACTATAGTGTGCCGTCTACAAAGATATCTCTAGTATAATCTTAACCAACCCAACCCTACCTGACCTGACCTAATATAACCCAACCAAACCTAACCCATCCCGACATAACCTAACCTAATCCAACCAACCCAACTTAACCTAGCCCAACACGACCTATTCTAACCCTACCTATCCTAAACATCTTGTAACCTGCATGCTATAGTAGCACCCTTTTTATTTTAATTATAAGTATATTGTTTATATTTTTTAGTTTTTCTCTACTATAATAAATCACCTGTAGTGTGCAGGGCATGAAGGCTGAGGGAAATTGCAGGGTAAAATAGTGTTAACTGATCAATTAACACTAAAATGATGTCTGTACGTGCTTTGTACGTGAAATAATTAATTATTTGTTGTAAATATGCCACAGAAAAATCTGCTTTTTGGTGCATGCTGTCATCTGCTCTTTGTTTGTGCAACAACCGACCTGTTCTTTACTTTACTTTTACAGTTATCCTCTTCGCCACTGATTGGCACGTTAGCTGCTTGGATGGTCGGTCACGTC